AGCGTTGCCCCGCCACCTACACGAGAGTGCGAGCGAGGGGAGAGTGGTGCTGTGGCAAACCTCCGTCCACGTGGAGCCCATCCCAAGATCCCCATCAAGTCTCCGCCGGCAGCAACGGCAGCGAGGGCGCCACCGCAGGAGCCGGCAGCGCCACCTACCAGCGTCGCAGCCGACTCCGTGTGGAAGTCTGCAGCGAAGCCTGTCAGATCGTCAGGCGAGAGCGGAGGCGGCCGGCGTGGCGCCCCAGCTGACGGGCGGTGCACCGCTGAGAGCTGTACGGCGAGATCCTCCTCTTGGACGATCACAGCACCAGTAGGCATTGCATCTAAAACACCTGAACAGCCAGTTAAGCACTATGTGCGCTTTTTTTTTTTCTTTGAACTCGTTCAATTGGCGTTATATTTATTTGCTTTTTTTTTGCATACGCATTGATTCATTGTTTTGTTTCATTCGTGCAACTACGACGTAACCATGATTAACCGCACATTACCACAGATCTTCATCATACAGCAGTCATTTCATGCGTGGTGTAATAACGAAACTCAGACAACAATAATAGACGAAACAGTAATAACAGTTCAGAAATCAACATCTTCATCGGGTTATATCATCATTGCAGTTCCACAAAGTTTCATTTTTTTTAACGAATAACCTTATGATTACTTTATTAGTAATCATCTTATCGCTTTGTGTTAACTGCCATGGCATGCTGCTTAATTATTGTTGCATTAGCGAATCAAAATTTGTTTAAATTTAATGTTAGTGCGGCTGAGGTCGGTGATTGGTTAGCGCTTTCGCTGTTTGCTTTGATGAGGATCCGTCGCTTAAGGGACGCAGCGAGTCCGATCCTGGAGGCCGCCGGGCCGCGCCGCCGGCGGGCGCCGCAGCGCCGGGGCGGGCCCGGGGCCGCGCCGGCCGGCGCGCCGCCCTTTGCAGTTTGATCGCCGACATTCACGGGAAACGCCACTGCTAGCCCCTGTCGTTAGTTGTGTTACTATAGCTCCCTCCTGTGTCTTGCTGTGTGTGTTTCTGCGCGTTCGCAGCGCGAGTGTTCCAAGCGTCGCCATGACGACGGGACGAGTTCGCCCCGGCGACGGCTGTCCTGTCCTAGTCGCGAATGTCTAGTTGCCGATCACAGCTGGTATCTGGACAAAGCAAATCTGCATTCGCTTATAAGTCAAACGTCGATGTAGATTTTTTTATTCGACGAATGGCGCCAGAAGCGATGCATTATTGACTGGTTTTGCTGTGGAGTCTTGTGTGTAGCTGGTCACTATGCGCACTAATTCAGAATTCAGCACGATTCAGTCGGACTGCATTGTAGAGTGTGTGTAGCGTGACGCCTTTGTCGAGTGTTTTTTCAAGTGTTTATATAGAAGTTTTGTTCGTCCGGATATACAAGTTAAAGATTCTGTCAATTCGGCTGCAAAAGCTGTTGAATGCAGAAGAATGTATATATACATAATATCAGAGTGAATAATATCTATTATAATAATCTATTATAATATCTATTATAAATAAATCTATTTATAATAATCTTTATAAACGTAGGCGGGTATATTATAATAATCTTTATAATAATCTATTATAATAATACTTGTTATAATATTTATTATTATTCCTCTGATAATATATATGAATTCGTTCGAAATCATATAATTATGGAAAGGAATCTGTAGTTGCCTGTGGTTTTTTTCTTGGACAGCCAGTTCAAAAACCGTCTGTGGTTTTGTTTAGAGAGCAATCAGAACCGTCTGTAGTGTCTGTGGTTAGACTAGCATCAGACCGGTCTGTAGTGTCTGTGGTTTAGAGAGCAATCAGCAGTCTGTACCAATTTCTCACGCAATAGCAGTCATTTCGTCGCTGCAGTGTGACTTTGTAAGCCTTTTCAAACTTTTCGCCTAAGTTATGAGGATTAACTCTGCATATCGATCGCGAAATTTCAAAAGAGCGCAGAGAGGGAGAGCGAAAGAGAGTCAGCTGAGCGAGAGAAGAGGGAGAGAGAGAGAGAGAGAGAGAGAGAGAGAGAGAGAGAGAGAGAGAGAAGAGAGAGAGAGAGAGAGAGAGAAAGAGAGAGAAGAGAGAGAGTAGAGCGAGAGAGATGAGAGAGAGAGAGAGAGAGAGGAGGAGGGGAGGGGGAGAGATGAGAGTGAGAGAGAGAAGTAGAGCGAAATGAAGAGTGGGAGAGAACAGAGACAGAGAGAATGAACTAGGATTCTCAGGAATTTTGAGCTCTCGCATGATTAGCAAAATCGTGTACCATATATCTAGCCAGCGATATCCTCTTCATTGATTGTGGTTGATCGTTTGTTATTCATCCATCTCAGGTTGTCTCGCTCTGTTTGCTCTCATGACAGGCGTTCCTCAGTTCCCCAGCCAGGCGTCAGCTGTGGAAAGACAAGATTGGCACTCTCCGGAGCCACTCCCCGTCAGCCTCCTCCCGTGCGACTCCCCAGAAGTGGCAGTCGGTGCACCACCGCCTCACCGCTGGGTAGTCTGTCTCGCAGTGTCGCTCAGACGAAGATGGAAGGAGGCAGCGGCGGAGGACGCTAGCCATCTCCCCAGGGGCACCACGCTGCAGCGACGGCGGCAGCCGCAGGTGAGTGATGATGATGAACTGTGTTCGTACCTTGTGCACGATATTATCCTAGATTTACCCTTCTTTCCATATATACTACCTTTTAGAACTTCCTCCTACTCGGCATTGTTCCCGTTCCTCTCATCTTTGTCTATTATATATAGTCAATCGTCTGTTCAAATTAACTGTTATATCTATCTATCTGTACATTATCACAGAGTATCACGAGTGCTAACTGGTGTAAGTTTAACTCGCTAGGATGCTAGACATCACCTGCTCGGCCCCAAAATCTTGTTAACTATCTTCTCGTTATAATCTCTAAGAAATTTACATCGTATCTCTGAATATTAATATCTCATAAAACGAAGAGGATATGTGAATGCTGCCACATTAGTGCGTCATGTACATACGCATGCGCAGGTTTCGCGCTGCCTGTACCAGATGCGTGTTGCAGGTGGCGCTGCATGTCATACGCATGCGCAGGTGCGCTGCATGTACATACGCATCGCGCACTGGTGCGCTGCAATTACATACGCTGGTCGCAGTTGGCGGCTGCATTACATACCATGCGCAACGTGGGCGCGCTGCATGTATATACGCGAGCGCAGGTCGGCGCCTGCAATGTAAATAACATGCAAGTGCGCTGCATGTACATACGCCATGCCGCAGTGTCGCGCTGCATGTACGTACGCATGCCACACATGGTGGCGCTGCATTACATACGCGGTGTGCATGTGGCGCTGCATGTACAATAACGCATGTGCAGGTGGCGCTGCAATGTACATACGCATGCGCAGGTGCCGGCATTTACATACGCGTGCTGCAGGTGGCGCTTGCATTACATACGCGTGGGAGGTGGCTGCATGCAGCGTGACGCAGACAGGTCGTAAGACAATGTAAGTGGCAGGTGCTTACACGTTAGTGGCGCTACAATGTACATGCGCGTGCTTACACGTGTAGTGGCGCTACATGTACATGCGCGTGGCTTACACATGTAGGTGGGGCTACATGTACATGCGCGTGGTTACACATGTAGGTGGCGCTACATGTCAATGCGAGGTTGCTTACACTGTAGTGCAGGCTACATGTTACATGCGCGTGTTACACATGTAGTGTGCGTGTGGTGGCCACGCGGGAACAATCTGATGGTGACGGTGTACTACTGCCGACCGATGATTCTTCCACAACTCCACAGAGCAACCCAACGGGCTGACACTGCCCTGCAGAAGGCTCGAGGTAACGAGTGTGACACACCCTCCCCACCTGTACCCAGTCTAATGTTTAATCACTCTCCAGTTTGGATTTATTGTTTGTCCACTGTCCAGTATAGATGTCATGTTTGACCACTGCAGTTACGCCCGGATGTTGTATTGACTACTATATTTTGCCACTGTCCAATCTGGATGGTATATATTACCACTGTCAGTATGGATGTAATATTTTACCATTGTCCAGTTTGGATGTAATATTTTACCACTGTCCAGTTTGGATGTAATATTTCACCACTTTCCAATCTGGATGTAATATTTGACCCTGGTAGGCCTTTTATGTAATAATTTGACCTGGCTAGCCCCTTGTTTGAGTAATGATTTGACCCTGCGGCTAGCCTTGACTTTATATTTGACCATGCGGCTAGCTGATGCTAATATTTGCACCCTGCTACCATGATGTATATTTGACCCTTGCGGCTAGCCTTGATTATATTTGACCCTGGCTAGCCTTGATGTTAATATTTGCACCCGAGCTAGCCTTGATGTAATATTTGACCTGGCTAGCCTTGATGTAATATGACCCTGGCTAGCCTTGAGTTAATATTTGACCCTGGGCCGAGCCTTGGTGGATATATTGTGAACCCTGGGCCTATCTCTGTATTAATATGTTGACATGGCCAGTCTGGATGACATGTAGCTATGTTAACACTGTCTACCCTATCCCTAGCAATATTCTTGCATGTGTTCTATGGTCATCCAGAGTTTACTTGCAGGAATGACTACTAGTATTTAGTAGTAGCCCTTATTAGTATACTATAGTGAACACTAGACACGTCCTCAGTATGTAGGTTAGAGTAACTGTTATGTAGTTCTTATTAATTCACGTCGCGATCTGTGCCTTCCTTCTCATGCCTCTCCTCCACGCTACCCTGCTCTCTGCCCCTTCTCTTTTCTCCTCGTTCATCTCTTACCCCTCCTCCCTTTTCTCTTCCTACCCTACCCCTATTATCTTCTGCATTTCTCTCTCGCCTCTCCGCATACATTCTCTCCTTTCTCACCTTCCTCTCCTCCCTCCTTCTTCCTGTCCTCCTCCTTTGTATCTCACCTCCCCCTCCCTTCCCTTCTCTCCTTCCTCCTCACCAGCATCTTTCATTCGGCATCTCGCGGCGTCCGTGCCGACGTGCGTGCCACACGTCACGTCCACAGCTGTAATTAAGTAACGCAGTTATAATATGCAAATGCCCGTCCGTCAGGCTAAAACTCGAAAGCACATGAATAAAAAAACGCAAGCCTGTCATCCCTGAGATTCCTGCCTCCTTTAGTTGCAGTAAGTTATACTTACTGTTTTCATAATGTTCCATTAAATCACTACACCAGAAATTGCCGATGAATGAAAATCTTGTTCATACTGAGGCGCATCACTGATTGTTGATCACACACCACACGCACGCACGCACGCACGCACCACGCACGCACGCACGACGCACGCACGCACGCACATCTGCCTAAAACTACATTCCCGCTAAAACATAATTTCCCAGAAAACACGTCGTTTC